GAAAGACTGCAAATAGGATAAATAGAAAGTACGCAGTGGGTTTCCTGCAATTTGCATGCAGGGCCTTCTCTACTGGAAGTTGTATCTGCATCCCGGTGCTTAATAGACTCAGTTGGACCTTCCTCCCTGTGTGTGCCTATGGGATTTTCTACTAAATTTTCAACATACAAAGCCATACTATCACTGTGAGTTAAAGTATTATTTTATTTCTTTTAAACCTGTTGCCTAATAATTCATTTTGGTTCAACCTAGGCCTTATGTCAGGAGAAATGGTGAGCAGTCATTCTCTATTCCTGACTTTATCTTCTATTCCACGTTACCCCAATCTTGCATCTTCCAAGCTGCAAAAACTTAATCTATTTAATTGCTCCCTGTATCTAACCATTCAGTATCTCCAATCAACACTGTTTTTGTTCTTCGTACCCTTCTGTATTTCTGCTGTTGCCTTTTTTAAGGTAGGGAATGGCACAATATTCAAGATATGGGCACAATAACATTTTCTGTTCTGTTTGCTGTTCTTACCTTACATATGGTACAATGGTTGATAAATATCTGACATACATTTAATTTAAGTAGGTTAATATTAGAGTTTCTGGTAAAAGGTCACTGGTGTAGTCTCATCCTAAATGTTGTGTTTGCCACAGAATAGGTAATGTGGATATACAAATTACCTTTCAGTTACTACCTAGGCAAAACAAAGCTTATTATCCACTAAATGACTGTGAATTACATAGACATATTTGAATAAGCTAATTCCACAAGCTGCACTCTATAAAATATAACTTCTATTTTTGGAGCTGTAGTCATATACGTGGGCGTACATTTGCACACCGTTGCTTTGCTTTGTTTCAGATGCTAAAGGTTATCTTGAAGTGGTAAGCTAATTTGTCTCAGGGTCATCTCTTCCGTGGCTTGTATTATTAGCTGCAACTGGGAAATGGCATACAGTTAACAAAAACAATAAGCTTTTTTAATTGAGGCTCCTATCTGATTGCTTGGAGATTCTAGAAGGATGTTGGCTGCATGACAGCAGGAGGAACTGGTGTACGGTGATGGGATCGCAACTTCATAGAGATCTTCAGCACCAAAAACGGGGAGTAGTAATCCACATTGAGAGTTGGTGCTGCGAAAAGAAATTTATGTACTCTATAGATGTACAATGGCCTTTTGTAACTGTTGACACAAGTTTCTTTCATTCTTCCCCCAGCAGTTCTTCAGGTCTTTCATACGTGGTTGCTAATGATTCCACCAGTTAAAAAGACCTGTGAACCACACTTGGTCCTGGAATATATATAAGGCAGAGTCTTTGTAACCTTTTAGTTCAGATTTGCTTTTGCTCACTGTGTGATAGATTGGTCTCTCTTGTTGTATAAATTACCCACTCATGTTCATTTGCAAACATCCCGAGTATTATGTATTCTATCAAGATATGGCATTTCTTGCCCAACGTGTGCATTAAGGAATGCCCCAAACCACTACACTCCTCTGTCAGTGTAGATTTATTACTCAAAGCGAACCATTACTATACAGCAGTACTTCCAATGCATTTTACTGTGCTTCCAGTTGGACAAATAGGATGTTACCAGGCCTTTGAAATATTCATAGTAAACATAGAAACTGCCATGCTCGTACTCATAAATTCATGTTTCAATTTATGTGCATTTACAAAACTGCCAAGAGGGAAACTCCTTATCAAAGTACCTCTTCCCAAAAGCAAACAAGTTTGATTTTCCAGAACTGTGCAGGAGATAATTGCACCAGTGACTTTGATGATGAAGACTGTAGATGGCAAGTCTGGGAAAAGAGTCTGAAATACTAACATCTCTTCTAGGATGGTTTTTCTATGTCTTCCTTTCTAATATCAATAATTCATTAATATTTGTATATATTAACATTTATAATGTTTCGAGCCATAGATGAACTGGTAAGATTAAATGAAATTAACTGATCTTCTTACTGCTGACTTGCT